TTTTGGAATTTCTTCCGGTTTCAAGCACCTTGCCCTTTAAACCGGTAATCATTATCCCTGATCTTAAGTGGAGATTTTAACGATTTATCCATCGATTAATGTCATGGGATTATGCACTTCCCTTTACCGTCGCGTTTAAACATCAAACTGGTTTCATAAATCTGTTCGAATAATTTCTAATCGAATAGGTTATTCTACCATGAAAACGGTTAGAATGGAATAAAACATCCTTATCGAAGTTGAAAACTTGCTCCACATGGGAGTGATACTTTAATCTTCGACGCTAAATGGCATCTACGATAATATATTTTTTATTAGATTATCGTGCTAATCCTCTTTTGCCACGGTCTTTCCCTTCTCCATTTTATCAGCTTATTCTGCAGATTTTAAAGCCGACGGATGGAAATCTGTTTCCTCTCTAATTTCCTTTCTCCGACATGAACGTCCACCTAAAAATGTTAACGCTTCTTAATAACGTTGAATGACGTTCATCGGTACTTGAAACGTACAAACTGCATAAATAGCAAAGTGCATTAGACTTGTGATAACGATGTGGTCTTTTTATCATAAGTATTTTCTAAAAATATGGCATAGAAATACTGTTGAATGACGTTAATCGGTATTTACGGCACACAAACCGTATAAATAGTCGTGGCTGCATTAGGATTGTGATAACGATACGAAGCGTAACAATTTTTTACCCCCAAACAATCTCGTCACGGGTACTTAAGCGACATTGGTCCGAGTAAATATCACTTTCCCCCCTTTCACGTGCCTAATATGCATATGGAGAAACTGACATTACCTCGGAACTCTATGAAATTGTGCTTAATGATTGCGGTGCCTGACTTTAACGAATCCGTTATGGAAGAAAAGAATGGTTGGAAAATTCTGCGAGGGAAACCTCATTACGGGACGATGACACTAATGACGCCTTTATTTTTCTCAACGCGAATTTTTTTTATAATTATTAAATTTCCTAAGTGGCAAGCACTAGGATTAAAAACTTCGTAAAGTACCAGTTAGAGACAATAGAATTTAAACGGCACAATAAAATTTACTAATAAAGGGTTTCCCAAGAGTAACCATCATTCTAAATTTCGCGCTATCTTTGAAGGGTCTAAGCATGAACCTCAATATTTGACAAATGACAGGTAAAAGTTCATCAATTTGTAAAAATGGAACGATTCACAATGAAAGTAAACGTATGTACGTATTAAAACATATGTGTTGTACAATGTGCAAAAGTCTTGACAAATTTCGTCTACTTCGCTAGAAGGGTCAAAGTAGAAATTTAAATGCTCTCATATTTTATACGTAATCTCCATATTTGTCTTAAAATTATAATATCATACTTTAACATTAACGCACTCATTAATACTAACCGTACCGGCACTTCACATGTATTTAACCATGCCGTAACCAGTCAAATAACCGGCTACGAAATAGACTTTGTTTTCATTAAAGGAAGTGTCAATTTCTTGGAGGAAATGGTGCACAACATAACTGATGTAGTGTAAAGTAATTATATATTTTTTATATTTTTTTACAAAACCAATGTACCGAATATTATTAGATTCGATCACCCTTTGTCCTATTTGGTTACTCTGTGACTATTCGATCTGCACTCTGTGAATTTCAAAGTGATCCTGCATTTAGATGCATACAACTATAGACTTTTAGATCTTACTTGAGTTCAGAGGTAAGATTCCAGACATAGAACTTTAGAAAAAGATGTACATTCGTCGACCGGTCAAATAACCGGTCGCGGGAAGCAAGCCAGGTGATGAATTTTTCGCAGTAAAAAAAGAAGCAATGAAAATATAAAAAAACCGGCAAATTGATTAATCAGATAATATAAGAATTTACGTAAAATTAGATGAACAAAAAAAATAACAAATGCACAATTTTAAATCAGACTTTGAAACCGGTCATTTGATCGGTCCCGGTACGGTTAGCGTTAAGAAATTAATTCTGATTTTTTTCAAACTTCAAAATAATCTTATCATTGGGAAACTTTTTACCTATCCACGTACAAATTTTGGCCAGATATTGTATGCTAAATCGTAACGGTGAATATTTTGACGGAATTTTGTTTGGTCATACTTAGCAGTTTTTTTTTTTTATTATGAGGCTAATTTTCTTGAAATTAATTGAAAATGTCGGGAAAGATTGTATCGAGGTAACGGCGGTTCTTCGTCGGTTCCGTCGTGATTTCTTCGCGTGATTTAATCTAACAGTAAACCCCGAGAAGAAGTCGGATGCAACGGAAGATTCGCACGTATTCGCGGCGAATCGCGAGAACGATCATCCTGATCGCAGAACCGTGCAGTCTCCTCGAGGAAGTAACAGTAATTCGATGGTCGAAAAAAATGAGAAATCGAGGAAACGCGTAAAAATGAAGAGCGCCTCGATCCGAAGGCGGCCAACTGGGCCGACATTCCCTACATTTGGCTTGCGCAACTGGAATATGCAGGATGTTGCATAAGCGCCAGTTAATTGAGTTTCTTTTTTGACCGCATGATCGACTTATCGTCTACACGAGATCCGTTAAAAATCGCGATAGAAAGCCTTAAGATTTTATTTCAGCCGAGGAATCGCAAATTGGGAGGGAATCCCTTGCCGTGACAAAATTATTCAAAATGGATGTAACCAGTCGAGCCCGACCCCGCTAAGCATGAAAAAGCGTAATTAATAATTAATCGACTTTCCTTTTTAATCGCATGGTTGACTTTTCTGGGGAATGACTTTCTCGACTTTTCCGTTAATCGAAGATTTATAGTTTCGGAATCGTTTATTACCGTGATAGAAGTGCGCTGTCACAATTGAGGCGATGAAGAATTCATTAATTGATTGTCCTTTTTTTCCTATTCTTGTAATCCATCTGTGTAGTACCGGAAAGAGTCCGTCCGTTCGCCACACTTTGCATTTTAGAATTGTTCTCTTTTGGAAGTGCATCGCACTTGGTATTTTCACCCTAAATTGATGCATAAATTACCTATTTTAATTCACCGTTAATTTTGCACATTTAAACTATATTTACACATAAATGTTTGAACGTTCGTCGAGCGATTGAGGCGACCGTTACTTTTCTATTACAATGGAAACATAAAATGGATATCATCGATTACATCTTACCATCCTCCACTAAATCTCGTTTCTAAGTTTCAAACTTCAAAACGCATGTTTTTCAACCTTATCTTCATACAAGATGAACATTTGATTTACTCGACGTGTGCACAAATTACGCTTACTTTCGATATTTCTAGTTTATCGCGCTTAGGTCGTATTATCGATCATTGGGTGTGGTATCGATACCTCGGGATCGAATTGCTTATCGGGAAACATTTTGTCCGCGTCTAAACGGGATGTAAGAAGGAGTAAAGGCTATGTCGGATGCGATTCCGAGTCACGTCTATCAGAAAGTCGCAATGTCAGACCTGTCGGTGACAGTAGAGGTGTGCTTGGGAAAGGCACATGTGCGTGATGTACTTTGCGTAAGGAGAGGTCAGGATGACGACTGGTGCAAGAATGTCCGCAATGAGATTCCAGCCCGGACTCGGTCATGCTCGCCTGCGGACCCAAGATGTCCTGCATCGATAAACCCGTTCTTTACTCCTGTCCTCTGAAGTTGTCTTTCCGGTCGAAGTGGCTTATCCACGCTCCAGCTTCCATTTTTTCTCCCCATAATGATCTCTGCATATCTCAACCTTGAAAGTCGCAAATATTGAAATCGGTGGTCCAGCGCGATGCTCGAAAGCACGATCGATTTAAGGTGAAGTGAAACACGTCGAGGAACTTGATCGACGTCGATAAAGAAGATTTTTCTAAATACCTACGTTGCCGACATTCGATTTTATATTGACAGTTGTGTCAAATTATATTGGGTATTGTACGAAATGGCAAACTCTATCTGTCGTTTTCGTACAATAATTATAAAGAAATCGAAGTCAAATTCCAGAAATCCTCTGGATTCATGCTTTCTGGGGCCCTAGTTGACTGCAGAGGGACCCCCTGCGCCATCTGTGATTTCCAGGCCAATTAAATATTCACTCCAAAACCTCGTATTTCCATCGTTTTAGCATAGAGGCGCATACAACACTTTTTTTGCCTTTATCCCGTTCAAATGCGAGTTTATCTATTACCACAGTGTTCTAAGTTGTCGTAAAATTGTCCTGACCCTTTCGATTCTCATATTACAGCCTTCGATAATTGTATATTGATCGAAATGTGAGAGCTCGACGCCATTTTGTTTCTGGTCTGGACTGAGTTAAACATTTTTTTTTTAAATCCAAATTTTGAAATGTGTCAGGACAATTCTTAGACGATCAGGAGTGATGTGTTTCGGACAGTTTGGTGTAATACCCTTAAAAAAAAAGTGTTGTATTCATATCGACTGATTTGAAGGGTGTTTCACTTCACCTTAAATAGAGATTTAAGGTGATATGAAGTGGTCATTCTGTATATATGAAACGTCAAGACATTTATACAACTTTTTCTCCAAATGAATGCACTCAATCATTTGAAACTTCAGTACGCGTTCGTGAAGACTCTAAGGAAGAACGCGCGATGTTCGTTAAATTTCATTTTTTTTTGTGGAAAATGTGATCTTGGTTCTAATGTAGGATAAATAAAAATTTTTTTTTGCAAAAACAAATTTTACGAGCGTCGCGTTTTTTCTTAGAGCCGTAATTGTCACGTGCTAAAGTATCAAATATTCGGTGCACCCAGTTTGGAGAAAAGTTTTATAAATATTTTGACGTTTTATATATATAGAATAACCCTCTCATATCACCTTAAATAAACCGCCAAAAATTCGTGTATCGCTGATTGCCTCGATGCACGGCACTTTATTCTGGCGCTGATAACGATTAGAGTCCTTTTTATCGATAACTGTTCTTATAAAATGAAACGGAGCGGAAACTGGGATTCGACGATCAGGTTTTGCTGGTTTCAATTGACTTCCTCTTCGAGTTAGGAAAAGGTGTACATGTGTCGATGGTTATGAAAGTAACTCGAGTTATTTTTTGATATCGAACTAACGTCACGTTATCGTAATTAACATGGATATGCCACGTATGGGATAAATTCATACGTTATAGATTCTTCCTGAGTTCACTTTCATAACCATGGGCACATGTATATATAGATTTTTTTTGTAAACATTTTGAAAAACAAGTTCTGCTTGTCCATGCTGGATTTCTGGGTCTAGGTGCATTTTTATGAAACATATATTTTCGTCCGCGTCGACGTCCACGACGAAGTGCTAATTACCGACACGTTGAAGAATTGGTGAGATTTTATTATCGCGAAGGTTCCCTCCTCATTTGTAGATTTGTAAGCGAAGGCGGTATCGACTCGAAGTGACCATCAGGGAGGAGTACCGGAAAGTGATCGAAATTGTAACATGACGGAGTACCGTTAAGTAATTAAGTGCACCGACATGAAAGCTGAAGTGTGGACTGGAAACGGTGAGAAGATGTGACACCTTTTAATCCCGACGACTGAGATGCCTTTCCTTATTTCCGCAATCGCTCTCTTTAGGGGGAAGAGAGACTACGAAGGAGTTAAATACTCGTGAAAATTGAAGAGCCCCCTGAAGGACTCGGTAAACGCTTCGAAGAGTATACGCTTCGAGGTGTTCCTCGTCATCCTTGAAGACATACCTTTCCTCGGTAAAAAGCGCGCAAAAACACGAAGATGTGTGTCTGGGAACACACCTGGGTGTGTTCTCTTTTGCAGGAGTGTCTAAAATGCCGCTTCTTAGCCGGCGGCCTCTCGAGCTCACCCTGAAGAGTCGTAACGTTTACTTATCCACCTTGAAGATCGCTAAGAAAATCTACGATTCTTGAAAGCGCATTTTGTACCAATATTTCGTTGAGGAGTCCGGATGATAAGTGAGGAGACGCTAAATCCGATTTATTAACGAAACAAACGACCATTGGGAGATTAAGGACCCCGACGCACCAAAATCCTTCCACGAAGCCAAGTACTTCCTAGTGAACTAGAACGTAGGACTCTTCGGCATCCGAGAGCCAAAACTCCTCGGTTAGGAAAGGTCCAGAACTTACAGTAGCCACAATTAATTTATAAGCGAAACCGGAAACTCTTCCTAAGTTCAGCAAATCCCCAACGGACTAAAACCCATGACTGTGAAACCGATAGTCGCTTCCAGGAGTCTCTTCGAGAAGAGACCGAGCCAAAATCCAGGACTTCCAGGAGCTTGACCCAGCTCTTCGTGGTCCAGAATAGGAACCTCCACTTGGGTCTTCCGAAATCCGACTTACAAGGAAATAAAAAGTGATTAAAGGATTAAGAACATCGGACTCCCCCAAAATCAGCCGATCGAAGCTATGTCATGACTAGCAACGATCCTGGGCACTTCTCGAAACAGGAGAAGAGCCCGAACGGCCTCGGAAGGACGGCTCGCTCGCAGAGCTCCTCCATCGTCTTCAAGGACTCCAGCTTCTCGTCCTTGGCCCTGGACGTGTCCTACGCCTCCGAGGATTCTTCGTTCCAGAGTCCTGGGACGTCCTCTAGGAAGGATGGCACCTGGCGAGGTGGCAGGGACGAGGAGAGTGATCCCGAATTGTGGGAGGATCATGGGGTCGTCGACTATCTCGAGGGGAGGATGTATCCTCCCGATGAAAGCACCCCCGAGGAACGAGAGGACGCTCTTCGAGAGGTCCTGGCAGAAACCGACATCCACGAGGGAGACGGCGACCTCTCGGACTTCCTTTTCCACGTCGCCAGGACGAAGTACGGCCGGATCTACATCAAAGTCATCAGAACACTGCTTCTGAACAGAGGTAGGGTTTTGTCGCATTTCCGGAAAATTTTACATCTCGGCTGATTAGTCGTGACGGCGAGCTTGCGTATCTATTAATCTTGGATAATCAATTTTCCATTATTTATGATAGTTTTTATTTTAATATCAGTTTTGAGGTTGTCCGCAACTGCACGAAATCGACGGGGGGAGGGGGGGGGGATTCGCGGCGTAAGACGTTTAATTATTTTTAAACATGATTCTCCGAGGTCGATTAGTCTGGAATTACACATGTTACGATTCTCGTACTTTTAACTCGAGATAATGAAGTTTATTTAACGGAAAGCGGCTTCTGGGAGAAATTGCGGTGATAGGCTACAATGTTCATATTTTTATAAATTAAAGAGAATCATTTTACCGATTTCGAAAGATCGTATCAAATTGAGATTATTGACATTTATTGTCGGTAATTTATTTTAATTTATCTCTTTAATTTTACTCGACGTAGAATGATATTTATTTCACGTGTTCCGAGGAGCTCTGTCGTAATTTCTAGAAGTACGGGTATCGGTGTAGCATTCGTAATTGCAGCTGACCAGACTTTTAAATCATGCCTAACATGTAGATAGGAACGGTCAGCAATTACCTTGACTCAAGTAACGCTCAAAAGTTGACGTTTATGACCAAAGAATAACTGCGTCTTCCAGAAGGCGAGTTGTCTCGAAAACGTGCAGAAAAATCTGTACCTCGGAGGTAGACTTACGACCTTGTAATTGACCATTCGGCGAAGCAGTGCGCATTGTCCTTCCGAGTGTAATTTGTTATTTCGTTCGAGGCTGCGACTGGATAAGTTTTTCTGAATTACACTTGAGAAAAATATTCGAGTTACAAAATAATTTCTAAAATACGTACATACATATAAACGTCGATCATTAGAAAGTTGATCACGATACCAATATAATTATTGTTAAATTTTTAACTTGAAAAAATGCAATATAAAATGGTAAATATAGAATAAATATAAAATAAAACGTGAGAAAGTGGAGAAATTTTTTAACAATGCAGGAGAGGATGAATAGTATATTTATTAACTGTCTTGTTTTAATACGTGTTATCGATTTAATTTCATCCGTGTCGGGATGTGATTGGAAGAAAAAAAAAAACTCGTTTTTCAGGAACAAATAGAAATTTATTTTAATATCGCTCATTCTTATCTAGATTACCTGCTTCAATTGTGTTTAAGCCGGGTTGGGTAGTGAAATAATTACGACACGGCGAACCACGTTGATTGTAGCTGGATAACTTGGGGAGAGAGATAAGTTACGAGATTAATGCTCGGCATTACCTTTGTACACAACTTACGATTATGTAAAGGCATACAATGCTGCAGATCAGCAATAAAATACGACAAGTTGTACCGAGAGACAAGGATTTTAACTTTGTACCGATCTTGAATTCACTGCCGTAGAATTGTATTCTTTAATCATCTCAAAAACATTAAAACATTCCAATTATGTAAAAGAACATGGTAAAGCAAACCGAGATTTTTTTGGAATTCTGGATTCTTAATTTAAATCGGTTTAATATCGATTAAATCGTATAAGAGCATCGTATTTTTAACTTCTATCCGCTGTTCCCCACTGGTAGATGTCATTTACCATTTTGGGACTCTTCGTCATGAGAAAACAAGCGTAAGTAGATTCTTAGAGATCTCGTGGCTAAAAGAGACACCAGAAAGTCGCGTGTCTAGTTTCTCGATCGTTCATCCATACAAGGTAGACGCTTTCCTCGATCCTAACTAGCCTTCTACCTTTTGTGGTGAATTCTCACATTCTGCTATTCATATTCTTGAACCCAATCGATCCGGTATATTCGTTGTCTAGGGTAAAATTTTCTTATCAAACTGTTTGCGCCGTTTAGAAATGAGCGCTGAGTTAAGTTCCTGGCGGGTAAATTCAGGGTTCGTTGAATTTGCACCACGCACGAGTTTAAATAAAAACAACAATAACAATTTATTGTACTAATAACAACGGATAGAGAAAATACAATTAGTCGGTGTGAATTCGCGGTACAATCGCGTGTTCGGGTTACGCACTAAGTCCCAGTGTGGAGACAAAACATCCGAATGGTTCGAAGTCCTAGTTGAGTCTGATCTAAAAAACGTGGAAAGTTGCATTCGCAATGCACTTTCTTCCCTTTCCTGTGTCGAAACCTAGGTAGGGATGCACTTGGAATGCTGAGCCCGGATTGGCTGACTTTAGGACAGCATTTCCCAAAGGTTCGTTTTTCCAGGTCGGCACAGACTTCCTCGAATCCTGGAGAAAATTCCCGATGTCTGGTAGCCATACGATACCCTTTTGGAAATGCGTCGCCATGGCATACCCTGATGTGGCCACTTTGAAGACCCCCCTGATCGGGATCATAAATTTCGAGTCCTTTCTCTAGCTATTTTCTAACCACGTGCAGGACACTATTTCGAGAAAGAGTGCCTGGCATTGTCCATGGCCAAATGCTGCCCAAATGTTCTTCAGGCCGCCTCACTCCAATCAGATGGTTCAACACAAACTGTTCAATGGATATCATTTTTTTTAACAAATATACAGCATGTCTAGTAGGTAGATGACTAAACTTTAAGAGCGTCTAGGAGCGTATGTATACATAAACATCCGAAATGTTAGCACGTAACCGAATGCTGATGTCCTTTTGGTGACCGTTTAGGTTTCGGTGTCGAGTAGTTTCGGTCCCGATAAACCGAACAGTCTAAGGACAGCTCTTATCGCGAGAGTACTGCACAACGACGCGAAAGCGAAGTAATTTAATCTTAAATTATCTATTAAAACCGCTCTCTTCTGATCCTGATTACAAGGTCGGAAGCGTGTCTCACATAATCATATTTATTAGCAACAAATAATATTCACTGCGTTCATCAGGGGGACAACTATATTTGAAGAGCATATTTAACGTCATGAAATTTCCTTAGGGCATTCTTACGGAATTTTATTCGCAATGTAAATACGAAGAAGAGTCATGTACAAATCTGATCTGTCTCCGGCTGATAAAATAATTGAAAAAACTATCTGTGCCATATGAACGGAATATACTTCGACTTTGTGGAGACTAGGGATTGGGAGAACGAACAAAATGCATTTTTCTTTCTAAAATATTTTCACGGATATTTATTTCTTATATTTACATATGTGCGGTGTTATTTAAAGAGGTTTTGGTTTTGGTAGCACAACAGAATTTTTAATAAAGTGACTTTGGTTCGATTCTTTTTAACTCCTTTGATACTACGGGTCACTCATTATCGCGCGCTCGTCGTATTCATTATAGCCATCTGTTAAAATGTTGCAATTAATTCATAATTGACGGCGAGTACTTCTTTTGGCTACTAGAAAAATGAATACTATCGGTAACGTTAATAAAAATTGATAATAGTGGAACGTAACCAGAAAAAGGAATTCTTGCCAATTATTGTTACTGATAACCAAAATTAAATTTCTGTCATCGATTAAGGTTATTCGTAGCGAACAAATATTTTAATAATTCACAATGGTTATTTGCAATCGGGACAATTTTAAGCATTTGCTAATGGTTATTCGTAACCAGTATTTTTTAAAAAGATTTTAATTCATACCAGACGTTTACAACTTTTCTTATCGTTGTCATGCTGACTGTTCGTGAATCCTTGGTCGATAGTGTTGTCACCTACGGAGCAATCTTTAAACAATGTTCTGTGTTCTTTTTTGCTTATGCGTGTTCCTGTTAGGGATTCTATGTAGTTGGTCCGCGTCACGAAATAGTATAAGGAGATCCAACGCCATGGATTGAAATCGTCCTCCCTTTAGATGTCAAAGAGCTTCAGACTTTTTCTGATCTAGTACCGCGAGTATCTCCTCGATGAAATATTGCAATTAAGAATTATCGTCCGCTAGTGGGTCCGCTAGTCTTTATTACGTTAAAAACATCACATTCTGTATATCATCCGCGGATTATTGTTTCACTTTGCGTACCTTAATTGCAAAATGAAAAGCATTTTAGGTAATTTACATCGATAAGAAATGTTTTGGACACGTAGGATCGGAGTTCCCTCATTTTCCGCAAGTAGCGCTCGCATCGTTAGATCAGAAAAATCTGAGATACTGAGTCCTTTTGACTATATAGGTATGGACTGCTAGTCGCTCGCATTTTATCATGCATTGACAGTTTAAAAAACAAGACTTGTGAGTAGCTATGGAATCTTACTTCCAAGTGCTATTCCATGTATACCTAAATCTCGATATATTTGAGAATTCACTTCACAGCTTTGCATTGCACAGACAGTGACAGTTAGTTGTTTATAAATAAGGTATCACTTAATCTCATACCTTGAAACGGTATGTTTGTTTTTCTTTTTACTTTTACTCCGATATTTTGTGCTATGACAGTTTTTAACCAAGCAGTGGCGGTCCATTTCTCTTAATTAAGAGGATCTGAAAGAGTCAGCCTATATATATCTGAGAAATCAAATCGTTGGGGAAAGTATTCTTCGAATTGGGTGTACCGATTCGTTTCAAATTTTACCACGGGAATTTGGAGGCCCTAAAGTAAGTCCTGAAACTCATGAAATTTCATTTTTCATAAAAAATTAATTACATATCATAGACTAGAACCAACATGGCGTAGTCCGTACACATTTCGATGTTTTACGCTTCTTGGAGGCTTAGAATCGAAAATTAAGAGTTTCTGGACCTAGCTCGAACAATTTAGAATACAGTAGAAATGGAATATTACAGAATCGAACGGGAAAATGTGGTAAATACTTTCACCTACGATTGCAAGACAGACCTGCTGCTAACGCGTGTTTTTAGAGCACATTTAGTTGCAGCTGAACGTCACAGATGGCGACGTTGGTTCGTCAAAATATAAACGGTCACGAATTCATGGGATTTCGGCAGTTTTACATCGATCGTTTTATCATTACTTTACTGAAATGACATATAAAACCCTTCAGTTCGTATAATTCTCAACGTAGACTGCAAAACACTTCGACATAAATATAAATGTCAGTAATCGCGCCAGCTTATGTTCCCACTTGAGTATTCAAAACGGCATTACCACCAAAAAGGGTATGGATGAATTTTATTTTATCAATGTCGATTAAATTTCTTAGCGCCTTTCATATCCTCTTAGACGCGAATCTATTTCGTTGAGAATTTAAATTAGAATTAGAATATACGAAAGCGTTAGTTCTTGGTCTACAATGGCGCTGATATCCTGGCAACCTGCGTGAAGTTGGCAACTAGCAGTCCATACTTTTGTAGTCAAAGGATGATTGGCCATATGTCTCCTTATACTTCGTCATGGTCCTCGTCTCTAAGTCTCCATGGACTTGGCTCTCTCAGATCGCACGACTTTCGTGAAGTCGAAAAACATAGGAAAGTCGAGCTCTCCGCTTCGATATTGTTCATCTATACAGGGCAGGGCCTTCACGAGCCTGCGGCGGTAATTTTTCGCGTCTCATGTCGGAAGCCAATTCGAAGAGCGTTCTTCGCGATCGACCCAGTATGTTCGCGTTGACCACCGGCCACCAGACTCCTTCTACAGGGAATGTCAATGTTTCGGGTGGCGGAGACGCCGTGAACCTCGAAGTCACCGGTGATCCTTCGTGTCCTGCTTGGATTCCTTTCGACCCCTCGGAGCACGGCTTGAGTCCGGATTTTCGGCTGACCAAGTTTGGCGATCCTTTGGGCAGGATCAATAAGCCGACCAACGAGAGCTTTCGGTCGCTCCTATCGCTGGTTGGTCTGAGTCAGGTACGCGTAATGGTCATGATTTGGGATAATTTGATCCCTCGTCCTAGTTTGATTAAACGGCATCGCGATTGCGATAAGGCCGGAACTCCTTCGATTTTTAATTACGTGAAAATCAGGCCACTTTACGGCGCCCGGGGGTATCAGGGATCTCTCCTTCATTTTTCTCCTACCGGGAGAGGTTAGGGTGGCTTCATTTCGGTAATCTTTCTCTTCATTGTGGAATTTACCCTGCTTGGCACGAAAGAACCTGAAAATAAAAATTGCTGGTGAGAGACTGATCCACGTTGTTTTGGGTAAGGCAAGGAGACAGATTCAGTTTTGATTTAAGAAATACTTGTAATCGCCCAGATATTGTACATGCAAGAAACAAAGTTTTGTTCATTGGACAAGATCGTTTGATGACTGCATTTGGTTCATTCTAAGAAAAAAAAGGTTTCGGTTTCGATCAATTGAAACGTTTCGTTCGTTTTAGAAAATATTTCAATCGATAAACCAAGTATTTCAGATAAATATACCGAATAACTTTAATATTTGGGGCGATCTATCACACTATTTCGTGTAATCAACGAAAAGTTATTAATAAGAAGGTATTACCATATCGGTCAAACAAAGGGTCGTCCATATAATAACTAAATTCTATGGTTGAACTAGTAGAAGTGTCATTGATGTAACGAAATATTTGTCTGCCAATAGTTTTCTTTCCCAATGCTACACGATACACGTGATGATTGGATATGCTCATCATTGATCTTTAGGTGTTTTTCGTTAGTAGGGTATATTCCATTATGTTTCCAGAGATCTACGAAAAGGATTCCAAAAGTTATAATTCCTGGCTTCGAGGCACTTGCCCAAATAGTCGTAATTTCTACTTAAGTAAAATATATCAGAAATCTATTAACCCTCTTGATTAAATGAACGCCGACGATGAACTCCCAATTCTGACCGTCTTCGTGTAACCAAGGACCAGAAAAGAGAGAGCAGCGACCAATCCCACGTCCCAAGTCCCGGAGATGACACGACAACGGTGACCAAGCTGGACCACCTGGGTCTGCACCTGCTGGAGAGTAGCCACATGCTGTGTCCGATCATCGAGGACCCCCACATGATGGGGATGATCGCCTGCGCGGGAGTCCTCAGCGGGATCTACTGTCTAGGAGTCACCCAGCTAGCCTCGGTCAGGATGACTCTCGGTGTCCCAAATAACTTGGAAGGAATCGAGACTCGAGTCATGGTCTCTCTGCTGATCCGTGGCTTCAAGGCCGCCGCGAAATCGGCGAACTTGACCCTCCAAAGCGTCCAGCTGGTCAGCAACCCTTGGTTCATGGTGGGCGGCTCCGCCTCGGCTGTTTGTTATCACCATGAGCTGGTCCCTCCCGATGGGGCGACCATCGGGGACGTGATCGTCCTGACCAAACCCCTCGGCACCATGGTCGCGGTTACCGTCTCCCATTGGATGGAGCAACCGAAGAGACGCAACCGGATGATGTTGGCCATCAACGAGGAAGATGCCAAGAGGGCTCTCTTCAGAGCCGTGGATTGCATGACAAGGACCAACCGGGTCGCCTCCGTTCTCATGAGGAAGGTTAGCGGCAGCTCCTGTGATCGATCTTTCCTTACACTGGGTGGAAATGGGTCGAGAAAGTTACTGGGTTTTCAGGCCGTGATAGAGGAACGAGATACCTTGACGAACCTCTGCCTGGAGGTATCTCTTAATTGGGAATGATTCGGTTTAGCATTTCTTCGGACCTCTTTGTTTGGATGCAGTCTTGCTGGGGGTTCCGAAATCTTGCGGAATCTTGAAGTCTGGTCCGTGATATAATTTATTGTGATTAATTTTTGTAAAGATGGAAGATCCGAGTGCAAGAAGGTTGCACTTTCTTAGCACCCAGCAGGTAATCGTGGTTCTCCCAACATTTCTACGCGAGTCAAATTGTCAAACGGTCGGCTTATGTCTACGGACGAGTACTTTGATCATATTTCTAGGTTACGCGAGATTTATTATAAATCTTCTACAAAATTTACAAAATCAACTTACCGTTGTAAGGCAAAGGGCTGTCTCGTATCCCTAAAAACGCAAGTCTGGAATCCTATTAATTTTGCCGACCGTATTCCATTTCTTCCGTGTCTCCCTCGAACACCAGGTCTTAAGATTACTCCATCGAACGGAAAGTCTGAAAAAATCCTAAAACATCGAAAGACGGGAGACATTTTAAGTTGACCAGTCTTCCCTAAAGAGTGCAATTTCTTTCCTGAAAAGTACAACGCACACGCCGCCTGCGAAGTGGCGCACTTGGGGATCCTCGGACACGCGGAGATGCTCGTTCGCCGTCAGAAAAACAACGTCAGCTTCGTCATCCACAACATGCCGGTGATCGCGAAGATGACCGGAGCCGCCAAGATCACCGGAAACGTCCTGCCGTTGATGGAGGGCCGGGTACCGGAAGTGTCGGGGGGTCTTCTAGTAGTTCTGCCCCGGGAGCAAGCCGCTGCTTATTGTAAAGCCCTCGAAAAGACGGAACAAAGGCAGGCCTGGATCGTCGGAATCGTCGAAAATGGCTATCACAAGGCTCGGGTCATCGACAGGCCTCGAGTCATCGAAGTGCCTCCCAGAGAGAACGGGACATCGATCTGGTAGGCCATTTCCGGTTGGCCAGGGATAAATCGATCCAGTGATTGCGGGCAATGAAGACTGTACAAATAATGAACGTTTCCTTCTTTTTCTTCTGTTTATTTAATAGCGAGTCTTCATCGATAGCGCTTATCGTGACGAGTTATCTGCCGATGATGAAGGGTCGATGACATCGTTTAGACGTAGAGAGCAAATAATAGTATTGTTAGCCGATCACTTGTTGCGTTTAGAATGTCTTGCGCAAATGCATTTGGCTGTAAACTCTAATGAGTTTCTTGATGTTGAGAGAGAGAGGGAGAGAGTACAGAAAAGTCAATTTATTTCGGAAAATCTTCGTGTAGCGAACATCGTCTTTCAAAAAGATTCTGGATATGTTTAGATTGATTTATTATTATTCCTTATTGTTCCGTTGAATAATCGCAATAATTCCCGGATAAGCCGGTTCTATGTCACGATTGTACAATAGGATGCCAGCGTTATGTACACATTACTTTCTTTATGCTAATGCATAATTGTATGTTAAACTCTGCACTGGCTAATTCGAGCTTACAAGGAAGAGACGAGAATTGAAAATTTAGTTCATTATCAATTTTCCGAGAGTTCACTTTTGGATAAGATAAGTATATTTTTAAGTTGTAGGTGTTAGTTCGGAGGCAAGGGCAGCCTTTAGATTTTTATTATTTCTAGCCACTTATGAATCTCGTAAATAATTATATGAATGACCGAATGCTTCGATGTACATTACATTTTCTTAAATGAAATATTATAATATCTCGTTCATTTCGGGTCGTATTGGAAAGATTACGTTTAAATAGAGATAACTATTTAAATACGGAGTTCATGGTGGAAGATGTTGCGTGAAAGCCGTTTCTCTGCGGAATGATCTCCGAGTTCAAATAGGTCACCGAGGGTCGGGAATCTTCGAAAAAATCGGGAAATCCTCGCTGGAAAGCGGTTCTGTGATCGGATAGGTATCCGCGTCTCGTAGTTTCTCCTGCGTAGGTGGATTAATTCGCGTCCCTGTTCCCCTTTCATTCGGTGAGGCTCAAAAATTGCACCCGCACGCAGGTGCGTTCAGAAAAGTTTCCGAAGCAAAACGCGGGGAATCGATCGCAAATATTCACTAATTATACTTAATAACATCGATCAACGCGAACACTATGTAAATTCATGCATAATATTCCCGGCACGGTTTATTAACCGTATATAATTATCCGCAAACGAATGGTAATAATACGTTATTATCCACGTAATGAGAAAATAATATATCAGGAATAATTTGGAATGTACATCGTAGTTCATCGCGATGAACTTCAATAGAATATATTTAATTTCTTTTTTTCTTTTAATGATTTTGAATCGTCTAGGGTCGGGAAATAATTTCGGTATTGTAATTAAGAAAGCCGTTAATTTCTAATGAAATTAATTCCTTAATTCCGAATCTCTTCTCAGTTTGTGTTTGTTTTGGATAAATTTCTATATCTCAGTATTTCTTTGTCGCGTTTTTTTCTTTTTTTACGAATATTAAGAAATGAACGGAAAGAACATCGCGTACTAGAACTCGTACGTGAACTTACTTTAGCTTGAATAGAGATTCATTTAGCGTTGCATCCCTCAGTCATGGTTATTGTTCTCCATTCCTTTGAGCGAAAAGCCTGTAACTGCTTTTTGTAATATCCAAGATAAATGAGATTTCCTTTCTTAATGGGGGAGGGCGCAAAAGAATGTTTCATACAAAAGGCACCGGGGGAATAATACGTGGGGCAACTTTCATCTGGTACACTTTCTTCGATCAGACGTCGTTAGTACAGAGAATTGCATTGTTAGGACCCGAGTAAAAATAAAAAAAAAATCTGGATCTAGAAAGCAGTGGAATCTACTTCTCCCTACGCTCCTTGTAAAATATCTCACATTTTAGTACAAATTACTTGCCCTACAAACCGCCTAATGTTATTTCATCTTAAACTTAGATATAATTTTAATTCTTTCGTTATAGTTAATGAATCGATCACAAAACGTCATTAACTTACGTGACACTAATCCCTCAGTATTTAAATAATGAGTTAAATATGGTATCTTTGAGTAACATAATTTATTTCGTTCGTAATTATTATAAATGGCCAGTTGTCTAGGGTTAAAGGCAAACATAAAAAATAAATAGCACAAATTTCATACCTTTTCTTTAATATTAAATCATCGCACATTCCTATGTGTTGGGTTGGCTAAAATTTCATAGACGTACGATGTAGCATCGAGGAAATGCCCAATAAATGGTCACAGACCACAGATAGAAATGGAGAACGTCACTGACCGAAGTTATGCAATTAAATAAATAAAACAAAATTTCAAAAATTGCGTTACCAACGTCGCAAGACTTCTCCGCTAACCCAGTACATTATTTATCTTATTATCCATGCAAAAATAAAAAACATTACCATTTTTGGGCGAAGAAAATGTCGAGAAACCGCGGATTTAATGAAATCGAAGATGGCGGCTTTGTGCTCACCGGGACGATTCTCTTAGCTACGGTTCTACGGTTTATCGTGGAGTTTCTTAAAATCTATGTTAAAATAAAAAACATTACCATTTTTAGGCGCAGAAAATGTCGAGAAGCCGCGGATTTAATGAAATCGAAGATGGCGGCTTTGCGCTCACTGGGACGATTCTCTTAGCTACGGTTCTACGGTTTATCGTGGAGTTTCTTAAAATCTATGTTAAAATAAAAAACATTACCATTTTTGGGCGAAGAAAATGTCGAGAAACCGCGGATTTAATGAAATCGAAGATGGCGGCTTTGCGCTCACCGGGACGATTCTCATGGCGACGATTCAGCGGATTATCGTGGAATTTCTCGCGACGATCGGTCGCCTAGAGATTACACGCTCCCGTGCTCTCCCAAGGATTCTTTCTTTCATGGGTTTTTTCACGAGGCGTGATTATCGAAGGCTCAGATTCCGAGATACGGCGTTGGGAATACACGACCAGGACACAATTCACTTCCCTCGGAGCGACTTAAGCGAAACGCTTAATTAAACGTTTCCAGACACGCGGGACTCGACGAAGATTGACGTAGACGGAAGAGCTAACGAGCACGTTGACGGCGACGGTGTTACATCGGATTGGTTACGCCCCTTGTATAGAGAGACGACCCGTGTAATTCCGGACAAAGTCAATTTCCGATGAGCACTTCTCCTCGGTCGTGAGTCTTGCGGCAATTCCGGCGAGAGCTTTAATTGCGCGTCTGCTGACCCGGTTTTAAGATCTCGTATTTTTTTATACTTGAGATTGCCGAGGTTTTAGATCAATTCGAGGTGTACTTGACTCGTTCCGGAGATTGCTCGGGGAGATGCAATTATTAGACCGTGTTGTTTGTGAATTTTCCTTTATTTTTTCGCGAACCTATGATAGGGCGATTGTGATATATTTAAAACGATACGAAAAGGTCATTATATACATGTATATATAATGACCCTTTCGTATCGTTATATATATATAATTAAATTTCAGGAGCATGGAGGCCCTAAGTAAGAACGCGATGCTCGTAAAATTTAATTCTTCACAAAAAAATGTGATTTTGGTTTTAGTCTAGGTTAAATAAACAAAAGTTTTGTTCAAAAATGAAATTTCACGAGCATCGCGTTGTTACTTAGGGCCTCCATAATCACGCGCTAAAGTTTCGAATGATTCGGTGCACCCAGTTTGGAGAAAATGTTTATAAATATTTTGATTGTTTGGTATATACATGACTGTTTGGTATATATATATACGACTTAAAATAAGGAATAGAAGCGCTCCTATTATACCTGCAAACGGTAAGAAGTATTCGAAATGTTTGCGGGAACATCTCGAGGAAGAGTGAACGATGAATGACTTTTATTGCAACATTTTTTCCGGAAATTATAAGATATTTAGTTTTATTTGATGACTTGCAATTGTTCATACCAGCCGTCGGCTTTATTATGATTCGTTTCGTGCTCAGAATTGTCGTAAAGTCGCTGAATAAGAAGTCGATTATTCGTTGACGACTGTTTGATGGCCTTTTGTCCTCATTGACCGTGAGAACGTCATCGAATGTCCTACATTGAGAATTGGTGCCGAATGCTTTCCTCCCCTTTTATCTCGACTTCATCCTGTACTGTAACTTTTTCACATTTCCGAAACACCTGAATATAAATGTTATTCCATTCAATTTTTACTGTGGGACATTAATTTATTAAATAACGTTTACATCGATCTTTCTCATCTCGTCGTTTTTATTAATATTCGAAGGAATTAACTATTCAATTATTATTTTAGTACATTATTTATTTCCTATACTTACTTGTACGTATACGTATTCTTCATATCATACATGCATTCGCGATTCATTATGTATTGATATCGCGTCATGGTGCTTGAATTGCATTGATTACCCGTTTTGCTTTCAAACAACTATACATAGTCCGGTAACTTAATTCGCTCTTACTTTCGATTGACTCTGCCGCGGTAGAAATGCTCTTTAACAGCTGATCGATGTGTCGCAGCATGTAGTTTACTCTTAACCTTATTTTCCACATGATCAATTATTTACCTTGTATATCTTCTATCTTCGTATTGCATTTCTAAAAATTAATCGCTCTCAAACCACTTGATCATCGGGTAAAAATTGCACTAACAAAATTAGCCAATAAAGTGCAGTTACGCATTTTTAAGCCTTGCTTCTATGACAGGAGGAAGTATTATAGAGAAAGTATTCATTCCATTGATATCAGGCTTATTTATTTTAGTAATGTCCTTGCGGTATACCTTTGATAACGATAACGGAGCTTTAAATTGATTCACTAGAGATTAAAACTCCCAGAAAGAAGAGCGTCTTCGCTTAATATGGCTACCAAGTTTAGTGCTATTTAAACGGTACCGTAATAGCTGCAAATAATGAATATGTATGTACTCGGCGTTCCAATTACTGATCAGTATTAGATGCATCTCATCAGGTATGCTGGAATTAATTAGGTCGTCAACTGCATAATTGTCTCGCTTTATAATTTCCCGATCTGTTATTATGTTTTTTATTCCAATTTACCATTAAGCTAATGGTGCATCTCGTTTAATAACAGATTGAAAATTCCCAATATTGTTATTCTATTATCGATAAGTAATCTGTAGGTGATTCTTCCTGAAGGGGGGTGAAATAAAAATGATAGATTAAGGAGTTTAAGTAAAAAATTGAGAATTTGAGTTACTTCTTGCAAGAAGTAACTCAAATTCTCAAGGCCTTTCACGGGAAAGGAAAATTCTTTTTAATTGCAGGTAGAGGGATCCCTCTAATTAACGTCGGTATAACTTTCATAGCATTATTATTACAAAAGGACTTATTCGTTTAAGAAGTATGCTTCTTTCGTTTGACAATTGCCATTCCCATAGAATTCTTGGGATCATTAAATTAAAGTTTCCGGATCCATTTCCGACCCTCTAATTAGGCCTAAATGACTCATGAACACAGCGCACCCCTTTCGGAACAGTGTCCATTGTCATCCTAAGGAAATTTCCTAAAACTCCTACCTTCCCATTTACGAAAGGCTATTTATAATATACGTTCATCATACATTTTACAAAGAAATGATTACCAATCCAGTTTCAACGAGTCAACCTTTCAAACTCAACAGCGACAAATCAAGTGCAAAATTCTCCAGTACTCGTAATCCCAAGAAACGATGAAATGAATAATCTGGCACAATCTTCCGTTTACAATTTATTATGCGTTTAATATACATTCCATTATACTCTATTATAAATTTAAACCGAAAGAAAACCTGTGAAGATGACAAATTCAGGGAATTTGGTGTGACTTTCCAAATCTAAACTTCCCTAATTTAATAGTTAAAAGTTCCTTCACTTCGATTTAAAAAAATCGTTGATAATATTTTATAATTAAAAAAATATTTGTATAGACGTTGCATTAGTTTCCGAATACCAAAATTGCCGTTTAAAATAGACTTTGATAGTGCAAATGGCACAACAACGCGATGTTTTTATCGCAAGTGCAGAGACCACGTCGAGGGTTATCGATAATCCCCTCTCTTTCCCCGTCCATGGTCTCCCCACGTGGTGCGCGCATGCGCAGGGTCGTCTGCTCCTACCCGTCCCGCGGTCCACGTTCCGTGTCATTCCGCTGTCCGGAGATCCAATATGGCGGCGAGTCTCGTGATCGCGTAAGCTCGTGCTCGCCCTTTCCGCGGCGAATCGCTGATACCGAGTCTCGTTAATTCTACGTCGCGGCTCTAAGTGTTTTCGCAAAGTGTGCATATGCCTTGGCCGCTATTTCCGCGAGCTGTCACGCGCAGGTGATGCGCCAATCCGCGGAAACGTCGCGGGTTCTGCGTAGATACGGCCGAGACGCCATGTTCTAGGAAAACGGCTCGCTGGAGATGTGCCGATAGGTCGACAAATCCTATAACCTTTGCTCTACCGAGCGCGGCGATCTCGTTGATCGAGTCCTCACGGCTTGCCCAGGGCAGCGTTTTGAATGGTAAATATGTATATGTTGCCGGTGCGCGACTGGGAGGTGCGTGAAGCGGCATGAGTGCGGCGTGCAAGATGGCGCGTGTGCGGCGTTGCTACGAGAGATTGCGCGCGATTGGCCGACTTCCGCTGGAGCCGCGCGCTCATTGGCTCGTTCCTGCCGGCCGCACGGCATGGCGTGAACGAGGCGCCACACCGGAATGTCGACGGCGTCGTCTGCTAACCGTTTGACAGTAACCTTTTGCGATTCCACGCGGATCACGAGAGGTGTAATTAAAATATATTACCCGGGGTACTGGAATTTTCTTTTCAAGACAGTTTGTCAAGGAAATTGAATAGGTATTTAAATGGGATCTTCCTTCATTGTTAAAAGGAATTAAAATAGTAAAAGAATGTCGACGTTGCTTTGTTTCCTGTTATTAATTTCGATAGTAAAAATTCTTTAGGAGTATTCCCTTTGGCGCGGTAAAGTAAATACGCCCGAAATGAGTTTTACTTGGTACTTTTCATTTCTAACTCACTTTTCACCTGAAAGAATAGCTGGGTAACTAGTCGTGACCGAAAGTAATTAAATCACGTAACTAATTGTGGTGCCCGGCTCCGCCGGGAAGTAAGCAGATTTTTGTCGACATTTAGATGTTAATGACTTCGGGTGCGGGAGAGCAGGGGAAGATAGACATCGCGATGGGATCTCATTCTTTTCTGTAAATATTGCTTAAGCGTAGGCCCACGATAGCGCTTCGATACGAGCGAAAACTGTATACATTGAAGCAACTGTAATTAAAGTAATAA